AAATCATGTGTGGGATAGTTCTGCTCGTAAGGCGTCAGCTGACTCGACGCAAAAGCTACCACCTTCCCATGCTGCATCAATACACAACCTAAGCCCATCTTCGAAGCATCATTGTATATGGTGAAGTCCAAAGAATGGTCGGGAATATCCAACACTGGTGCAGTGGTCAGCTTCCTCTTCAACTCTTGGAAACTGGCCTCGCACTCGGGGCTCCACACAAACTTCGTCGATTTCTTCGTTAGCTGGGTCATCGGTTGGGCTATCTTAGAAAAGCCCTCAATGAATCTCCATAATATCTTGCCAATCCCAAAAAACTACGGATGTCGCTGGCATTTCTCAGCGTCTCTCATCTACTCACGGCTTCAATCTTGTCGGGGTCAACCTTAATGCCTCTAGTCGTCACAATGTGGCCAAGGAATGCCACTCGGTCTAGCCAGAACTCGCACTTCGAGAACTTTGCATACAACTTCTCACGGTGAAGGGTCTCTAGCACAATTCGGAGATGCTCCTTGTGCTGCTCTACGTCCCGGGAATACAACAGAATGTCATCGATAAACACGATGACAAACTGATCCAGATATGGATGGAAAACTTTGTCCATAAGGTCCGTGAACACCACCAACACATTACTTAACCCGAACGACATCACCATGAACTCATAATGTCCATACCTAGTCCAGAAAGCAGTCTTAGAGATGTCGGAATCTCTAATCTCCAGCTGATGGTAGCCAGGCCTCAGATCAATCTTCGTAAAAATGTTGGCTCCCCTCAACTGGTCGAAAAGGTCCTCAATATGGGGAAGGGGTACTTGTTTTTAACTGTAAGGTGTTTAAGCTCACGGTAGTCGATGCACATGAGCATAGATCAGTCCTTCTTCTTCACGAATAGAATGGGGGCTCCCCAAGGAGAAAAACTCAGTGGACTATAACCGAGATCAAGCAATTCTTAGATTTGGGCCTTGAGCTCTTGAAGCTCCTTCAGCGCCATACGGTAAGGGGCCTTCGAAACGGGACCAGCTCTAGGTACTAAGTCTATCGTGAACTCGACTGACGGTCCGGTGGCCCTCTTGGAAATTGCTCCGAAAACACGTCCAAGTACTCACATACAATAGACACGCTCTCTGGAGACCGTTCGGAGTTCTCGCTTGCCATACTCACAAGATAACCCTGATAGCTACCCTTGGATAAGCACTTCATCGCCTTAAGGGAAGAAATGACGTGAGGCACGGTCCTCGTCTTGGCTCCAAAGAAGGTGATCGACTGGCTGTCGGTGGGGTGAAGGGTTACCTCTCGTTCAAGACATTGGATGTCGGCTCGGTAGTGGATCAACTAGTCCATGCCGAGGATTACATCAAACTCATGCATCTCTATCACGTAGACGTCTGCCTTTAGAATCTGACCATCAATACTCACACGAAGATTGCGGATCATAGAATCAGTAGCGATCGTCTTTCCCGAGGCTAGGCTAACCTCGAGGGAGTCGACCTTACTGATGGAGTTAATTGCTAGGGCGTTCAGGCAATGAGAAGATATGAATGAATGCGTAGCACCGGCATCACACAAGGCAAAGATAGGCACATTGGAAACAGAAATCATGTCGGACATGGTACCTGCATTACGGGCGGCCTCCTCATGGGTGATAGCATAAACGCGGGCTTAGCCTCCTGCTCTCTGCTAGTTTGGTGGTGGGTGTTGTCTGTGCTACTTTTGCTGATGTGGCAGTGGGAGTTGTTGATGCTTCTGATAGGGCTGGTGCTGGAATGGCTGCTACCTCTGGGGTTTGGGGCATGCATGAGAGATGTCCTGGGGCGTTGGCAGTTGTAGCAGACTTCCTGAGCATACCAGCACTGTCCTGTATGGGTATGGCCGCAGTTAGGACACTTCTGATTCAGACCTTGGTTGGCAAGGCGCTCAACACGTCGATCGGGGCCTCCATGTTTCCCCTTCCGAGGGTCTCGGCAGGGATCAACCCTCCTCTTGCTCGAACTAGAGCCGGGCTGAACGGTAGTAACTGGCTGGATCAAAGGAGCATGATGATAAGGCGGGACAGGGATATGAAGGTATTGGCATCTCCCAAGCTGTTGAGCACGAATAACCATCTCCTCGTATGGCAAGGCCCCATGGCTTGTAAGAGGCAAACAAATGTCCGGGCGAAGACCCCCCCAAAACTTGGTAGATTTCTTGTAGTCTGTGTCCACCAGATGTGGAGCAAACTCACCCATACGGGCGAACTCTTTCTTGTACTCATCAACTATTCGGGTTCCCTGGTGGAGATCCTAAAACTCACGTTGCATCCTCATACGGTAGTCCTGAAGATAGTACTTCTCCAGGTCCACCTCCTTCATTCAATCCCAAGTTAGGTTGGCCATCTCAGCTAACCTCAGCCTCCAGTAGTTTGACCACCAGGTGTTGCATCGCCATCAATCTGGAAACGAGCACAAGAAATTCGCTACTCATCATAACAGAACAACAGATCGAAGATCATCTCTAACTTCTAGATCTATTCAGTAGCAGTTGTGGGTCCCTCGACTCCAGTAAAGGTCGGCGGGTTCAGCCTCTAAAACTTCATCACAATGTCAGCATGGTTATCCGTCTGGTTACGAACAGGCTGCTGAGGAGGGGGTTGCTGACGAGGGGGGGGGAGGGGAGTTTGCAGGGGAGATTGTTAGGCTTGATGGTTACGAGCTCCTCGACGAGGTACCATGATTCTACAATGTTTAAGACAGGAATTTAGCACGAGACTAAGGTCTCTAGAGTTAAACAATATTTAAGACAGATGGGTAAATTCCTAAGCCTTGATTTATACATATCACATCATAATTCTCAAGCAATTCATAAGCAGTTCAATATCACTTACGTAATCATACCTGAGCTAGCGCAGCACGACGATAGCGAGTGGTCATAATCACATGATATGCATAATATTCATATATTCCACAGTGTTCACATAATTCACATACATCAGTTACAGAAAATGCAGACTGGCTCTATTACCACACTGTGACGCCCCATTTTGATTTTAACGAAAATCTATGGCTTTTCAGAAAAATTAAATTAATTTTTCAAGATTCATTTCAAACATTTGTGGCATTACTCATTTATTTCCAAAGTCATACATACACATATCACCATGCAAATCTATAGCAATGAAATCAAACATATTTCAACACCTTATCAAAGGTTTCATCCCAAGTCATAAATACCCAAAACGGGCTTCAAAATCCCAAACCAAAACATAACAACGTCAAACGGGGCATCTCCCCAACAATGTTTCAAAATAACCAAAGTTCGTAAAATTCAGAGTTCATAAATTCAACCAATGTTCAAATTAAAGCGGATGCAAACACAAATAACGGTCAGGTCATCAAGACCGACCACCACTCGCGCCTCGCCTCGCCATGTTCGTACTTGTTTAACCTGCATCTGGGGGG